ATGACTCAGCCCCAGTGGCTCCCACAGGGAGGAGCACCCCAGCCCCAGCCCTGGGAGACTGGAGTCCCACCTGCCCTTTGCCACTGGGGCAGGGACCTGATGCTGCTTGGTTTCAAAGCTCTCTCTGCTCCCCCATCTGCAGTCTGGCAGCACTCTGGCAAGGGTGCTGTGGTGGCTTCTTTCTCCTTACATATGGCCGTGTGTTTGCCTTCACATTTTCCTTGAGTTTTTTGTTTAATTTATTATTTATCACAGTGGTAGCCAATGCCCCAAACTGCAATGACAAAAGGGCAAAGAAAGCTTCAGTTCAGAAATGCCTGGTATTTTATGTCCAAGAAGTGTCAAACACAAAGTTGTGTGAGTTTTTCAAATGCAGAAAGGTTTGGGATTTTGCATCTCATTACTAAAGGACAGAAGAAGATTATTCTGCTTGGTCTGAGCCGAGCAGAGCCTACAGGTGCACAAGCCTGGGCAGGTCTGGTTGCAAACACTGTGACTCCAACTCAAGGTCTCGTCCCAGTGCAGCATAAAGCTGCTGGATGCAGCTAATTGGCAGAATTAGAGCCTGATTCACCAGACTGGAGCCCCCGAGCAAAGCAGTGGTAAGTTTTTCCCGGCGCAGTGCCAGGACCTCACCCACTCCCAATGCCGTTTCCTAAAGTGATGTACAATTCACAAGGTGAGAGCATTTTCCAGTGGCACCGGCACGTCCCAAATTACACCCTTTTAGTGGGTGATACCTGCAAAACCAAACCTGAAGGTGCTGTAGAAACAGTTCCAGCTGATGCGACACCTGGGAGCAGGAGAGGAGTTACACTGAGCATGCGAAGGGACTCATCCAGGCCCTGGTCACCATGTCCCAATGCTGTGGGCACTGGGGGAGATGTCCTGGGCATCATGTGCAGTGGAAATTCCCAGTCCATCGGTGCCGGCTGGATTGAACTGGGACTGTCTGAGCTGGTTTGGAGGCAGGGCTGGCCTGCTTAAACATTTTTTGCATGATAGCATGGGTGAAGCGACCTTGGGGAGACACTAAGTGGAGTTGCAAAAGGTTTAGACTGGGTGGTAATTGTTCCCTTGGTATCTCTCATGCTGCAAACCCTGATCCCAGTGGTGGGTGAGAGTGGCTTTTCAGCGGTTGGGTGGCATGATGGTCAGGAGCCCTGAATATGGCTCCGTCTCCATCAAAGCTGTTTGCAGCAGCTTTTGAGCATGGGGTGTTTTCACCCCAATGGACCTTCTCTATCAGATCTTGCTCTTCCCCACTTGCCCTATTACATAAAAAAGGCTGTATGCAGCAAAATGCTTATGGTCTTCAAGCCTGCGAGCTGCCCTGATGTCTTCACGAGATTTTACTTATACACCATCTTGCCTTGCTGGGCTGTCTGCCAAACTCGTCATCACCCATCCCCATGTCCCATGCACTCTGTGGCCCTGCCTAAATTCCCGCCACCCCCATGCCACCTATCCGCGCCTGGCCCTGCTCAGTGTTGGACACCCTTCGGCATCCCCCTGTCTGTCCTCCCCTGCAGCTGGATGGGAACATGCTTGCACCCACCCTGGGGAGGAGGGTACCTGTCTCACCCTGTCCGCTGGCCCTGTTTGCCCCTTGGGGCAGGGATCTCACAACGTCTGCCTCACCCAAGTTATTTTGCAGTAGTCTAAAATTGCTGGGGATGGACAACAACAACCCTGGCATGCGCCGGCAGCAGGCAATGTGACTGGCAGCTGACGGGATGGGGTGGTAAGTGGCAACGATGGCATCAAATCATTGCCTCCCACGCCAGGATGTGATAGGGAACATTGGGACCCAACTCACCTTGTCGCCTGACTTGAGCAATCCCTGCTGTGGCCCCCAGGGACATGCAAGCCGGATTGGGGCAGAGAGGTATCGGCTCACCGGTGGGGTTTCCATCTACAAAGCAGAGATGTGCCTCAGCCACGTCCAAGCACACCATCCAGCTTATTTTCTTCACCAGCACTAGATGCCATTTAATTATTTCCTTCTCATTTTCGGCTGAAGCTGCCCTGAGGAGACCATCATTTATGCAATCACGACTACAATGTAACAAAACAACGGAAGCAATTGAGCCTTCTGGTCCTGGCAGGAGGGTGGGCTCAGAAAGAGGAGGCTCAGCACCCCATGGTGACCCAAAGATTGGCTTAAAATTGCCATGTGTTCTTTGGAGTGGGAGCAACTACCCAACTTCCACTGGTGATTTGGTGAATCAATCCCAACACTTGGATCAGCTGCTGCTGTGTGAATATACGCCCACAAAAGCTCTAAATTCCTACCTATGTACTGTCACCTTACTCCTAAGCTCCAGCTTCATTTGCTGCCGCAGCCAGCACTTTCCAACATGCCTGCCTGGAGTTAAGATCTTGAACCCACGTTTAAGCACCTTGGCAAACACAGTCTGAGGGTTTGCACACCCTCTATCTGAGCTTTTGCATGCAAAACACCCTGTTAATAATTATCTGCAGCATGGGAGTTGGCATCTCTGTCTCTCTGGCTGTGAACCCATGAGTGTTTTCCAAGGAGCTCTGCAACCAGGGTGGCTTAGGGTCAAGGTTATGGTAAAAAATGTGAAGATGCTTTGCACTGCGCTGGCAGCCAAAGGTGCTCATAGATTATGCATGGAGGTAGGTGTGGGAGCATTCCAGGCCGACACTGCAGCTGTGCCCGGGTCCTGCAGCCTCCAGCACCTTCTGCTACAGCCAGGAATCAATAATCCAAACTGCTTGGACACTGCCAATGCAGATGTCTTAGCAGCTAAATACCTTCCAATCTTTCCTCCCTGCAGCACCACCACTGAAGGAAAAATTTCTTTTTCATAGTTCTAAATATCCTTATTAGCATTGCAGCTCTAAATTGACAGGTACTGCTGGGGGGGGATGGATTAAGGGCATGCTCCTGGGCAAAGGTCTCCTGCAAACTCCTTAGGGCCAGCCGGCTGCAGGCTCTGATCCCTGAGGTCACGCGCTCCCCTCCAAAACAAGGGCCACTTGTTCCGCACCACAGGCAGGGCTGGGCTTGGTGCAGGAGGCGGCCGGCTGCCTGCAGCCAAGTGGAGCTCCCTGCACTGGGAGGGTGTCCCCAGCAGTCAGTGCCAGGGGGGACCCCAACACCAGGCAGCTCTGGCTGGTGTGACACATGGTTTCTGGACAGCAATGGCCAGAATCAAGTGCAGGTCCTTGAAACCCCCTTTGCATTTCTGAGTTTGTTTTCCCAGAGTGAAAAGGCAGGGCTCAAAGGGAGCCTTGTCCTTGTGAGTGGCATGGTGGTATGACCTGTTCCTGCCTTGCCCTAATCCCCAAAACCTGAGATCAAAGGTTATAGAAGAAGCATCCCACAAACAGCCCCAGTAGCTAAACCCCCTTCAAGCTGTAGCAGCAGCGGAAAACTGCTGGGTACCAGCAACCCCTTGAAGGAGGGAAGATTAAAATCCCTCAGAAAGCCAAGACCCGAGGGGCACCCCAAGAGCTTATTGCAGATGCCCCTAAGACAGAAACAACAAGTTACCCTCACAACAGGAGGTGAAACTGCAGCAGTACTTGCTGAAAGGTGTTTTTGATGCTCTGCCTTTGGAGCAGGGCAGAAAAAAGCAGGTTTTTGATACCACATCTTTGGAGCAGAGCAGTAAGTCAGTTTTGATGCCACATGTTCAAGCCATGGCTGGAAGAAATTGCACTTGGCCCGATATGATGCAATCCCAGGAACCCTGCGTTTCCTTCCTTTTTCCCATTTTGGGCACATTTTGCTTTGTCATCTCCTGCTGTGCTGACAGTGCTGGAGGAAGGCACGTGGCACCTACCCCCTGCCTCAGCAACTTGCACCCTGCAGTGGCTCATGTGGGCCTGTCCCCACTTCCCCTGACTTAGACAATTCCCTCTCACCCAAGTTCCTGCTGGCACTGTCCAGGCAATGGCCAAGGTGATGGGTTGGAGTGGCAGAGTGTCTAGGACCACCAACACAACCATCACCACATCCTTGTTCCCACCACCAGCTGCCACCAAAGCAGCCAGCTGTGCAGAGTGTGCGGGGCTGGAGGTGGGTGCTTGGATCCCTGCACCAAGCTGGGTGGTATCTGGCTTGCATAAAAGTGGAATGAACAGCTGTACCTGCTTACCAGACGTGTTGAGCATCCCATAATTAATGCTTCCTCAGCAACTGTGGCTGATGGGTGCTTAGTGTTATTAGCCAGTGACAAGTAGCTGATGTTGTTGATGTTGCTACCTCAAAACATTTAATTTCAGCATCTGGATTAAGCAAAAGGGCCAGGGGCCAGACTGGCACTGCCAATACCCTGCTAGGCTTTGTCTCTGGAGGTGACTTCCTACCAAAGCCCTGCATACTGGCATCCCTGCCATGCTGTGGCATTCCTGAGTTTGGACCCGCATGGTGGCCATGGTGGCACAGTGGGTCCAGCAGCTCCCCTTGCTAGGATGAGACATGCAGAGCCCCCAAGCCTGGGGACATGGATGCAAGAAAATGTTAAAGAGGCCTAATCCAAAGCCCACTGAAGATTTCTCATGTATTTAACCCATTTTGACGCATGCATATAAAACCAGATAAAAGAACTGAATGTCTGCAGAGGAGCAGTGAGTTATCCCAGCCCTCTTTCACACTGCTGAACACGGGGTGTGACAGACAAGTGCTTGCACAGAGGTGCTTATTTGTTTATTTTTGGGGGAGGGAAAGCATTGATGAGAGTGATACCTGTGAAGCCATACTGCCCCCCTCTTTGTGATTAAGCTGAGATTTAAAAAAAGAACTTATTGTCATTTATCTGTCCTGTCCATAATTCTGCTGCCGCCCAGGAGGCACACTGCCCTCAGTCTGTGTGTTTTTACCAGGCTGCTCTGAGGAGCTCACAGGGATTTGGGGTGCCATGCACCCAGGCAGCACAATAGCCTCTAGTGGCAACTGCTCACATCCAGCACTGGAGAAAGAAACCTGCCAACAAATCCTGAGGGGCTGCTTGCTCCCCAGGACAATCAGGAGCATGGTCTGCATTGCCAGAGGAGAGGCATCCCTGCACGAGGGGGGAGCTTTGGTGCCAGGCGGGGTACTGAGCACACCCAGGGACCCCATCTGCCCTGAGCAGCCACATCTGAGCTCCCCCCCCACGGCCCTGGAGATCCATTTAAGCTCAGGCTCAGGACCTAGTTCTGCTTTGGCCCCTGCAGCACCGGCCCTGCATGGCTTGTGCTGTAGACAACTCAACTCCAGTGCCCTCTCCTGGTGGAGCATCAGAGCTACGTGGCAGCTGTGTCTCTTAGATGTTCCTCAGAGCTGGGTTGCAGCCTTGTTCCATTCTCCTGCAGCTCTGTAAGCTGCGTGTCCTGCCGGTGTGGGTCTAAGGGCACTCTGTGAGGAGCCTGCATGCCGAAGGAAAGGTGACTTATGCTGTAATCTTTTTTATAAGGGGGAATAGCTGGGCTTTCTTCAACCTGTTCACCTGTTTTAAAAGTTTATAGGTCCTTTAGAGCTTTGGAGTCTTTTCCCCTCTGCTGAGTTTGGCTGGAGCTGCCTGAAGAGCTTACTTACTAGCTTATCAGCTTCTTCAGTAAACCAAGTTGAGCACATCTGGGAAGGTAGGGTCTCGAAGGCTTCCTTTGGGCAGAGGTCCTGGAAATATATCTTGAAGACTGCCTGAGCACAGCCAAAGCTAGCGTTTTTAGTGCTTGGTTTTATACTTCTTTTAGCTCATGTGTGTGGCAATAGGTTCATTTCTTTGCAGAAAGGTCCCCAGATCCTACAGGGCAGGTAGGTGGTAGTTCTCAGTGTCACAGTAAAAGTGGCCTTCCTTTGTGGAGTAGTTGCATCTTTTGGCTTTATCCTAAGACCTCAAGGACTTCATATGAAGAGCAGAAATGAGCACCAAGTCTCACCTGGTAGTCCATGCTCTTATGCAGTGCTCTTGCCCCTTTCCCTGAGGTTTGCTTGGTGCAGGTTAGGAAATCCTTCCCTCTCCACCCCAGAAGGTGTGTCTTCAATTGGCCCAGTTCCCTGTGCTGCTAGGAAGGAGGGCAGCTGGCCTGCAGCCCATCAGCAGCAGGAGGGGACCCAGGCAGAGGGTACACCCACATTCCGAGCTCCCTGGATGTTGTGAAGCCCATCATCAAAGAAAATGTGGGGCTGGATCTGGGCCAGGATGGGGCCCTTGGGAGCCCCGTCCATAAAGAAAGCCTCGTCAATTTCCAGACCCCATTCCCGGAGTGTCTTGATGGCTCGGATGCCCATGTCCCGGCCACTGCGGGCAGTCACCAGGTAGGTGCGGATGGGGGATTTTTCCTGGCTGAATTTCTTGCGCATCTTCCCAAGGTGCATGGCAAAAGCTTTCAGGGGACCCTGGAAACACAGCACGGCATTTAGGAGTGGCTGAGAAATAAGGAGGTATCTACTCTGCCTTTACAAGCCATTTGTCCCTCTTCTTGGGGCTCTGCAGAGCACAGGATGACTGTAGGGTGCAGGTATAGGCAATGCTGGGACTGGTCCTGTGCACTGGGGTGCTTGGGAAGAAGGTGGGTGTTGTGCTCTTCCTAATCCCAAATTGATCAGGAAGGTACATCCCAGAGAGCAGTGCCTCTGGGTCTGAGTCCTGCAGGGACTTGCACAGTAAGAGGTCCCACCCTACAAATGGTGATGTTCAGGGTCACTACAACCCTGGATATTGGGAAGCTGGTGCTCACTTATAGGAGACATCAGGCCAGATCCATCTCCAGTGGGACTCCAGATCAGGCCCACACCAGGGACCAAGTGGTGGATGCAAAGGGAACCTGGAAGGTTTATCTGGCTACTCATGACAAAGCTCTAACAGGGGAGATGCTCGTGGTGGGCACAGAGCCTGTGGGCACCCGTGAAAGTGAGGTGGCTTGCTCACCTCTCCCATAGGCACATCCTCCATTGCTTGCTCATACTGCACTGCCTCCTCCAGCCCCTGCTCTTGGAAGATCTGGTCTGTCTCGTTGGAGAAGAGCACGGCATCCCCGTCAAACACCACACGGAGTGGGGTGCTGGGGGCCTGCACCTCCTGCTGGAAGACGAGCGCTGCTGAGACACCTGTGGGACAGAGCAAGGTGGGCTCAGGAGGGACACCCCTCCTGGGGGCTGCTCGCATGCATGGACAGATTCTCTCTGCATATCTGCCATAACCCCATCCCACACTGCAATATTGAGATCTCCAAGGCTTTCTGTGGAGGTCAGCCCAGCCTTTCTAGGGCTGTTATTCCCTAATAGACACGGGTGAGAAAGTGCTGTTGATCAGACTGATGAGATACCGAGACCTGCTAAGAGGTGATGGGTGGCTGTGTAGGCATGAGGAGTCGTCCTCCTGGTGCTCGTTCACCCTGCCAAACCTGACTTTAATGCCCAGATTTAGCACTCCATGCTGTGAGTAATAGGGACTGGCACCTCCACTTGATTGGGGTAATTGGCTTAATTACAAGTCTCTTCCTACATCTGTTCCCTGTCTGCCCTCATTGGGGACCCAGACCTCTGGATGAGAGACACTTGTCAGAACAATGATCCTGTTCAGTGAAGCTTCAGGAATGTGCTGCTCAGAGTAGGGAAGCCCAGACTGCAGATGGCTTTCTCCTGACCTTGAAGGACCTTGGCCAGCTGATGTGCTTATACCCAAGCAAAGTGATAAGGAGGTGATCAACCCCACTAGAGCTGCTGTGCCCTAGAGTGCACTCCCTCTGATCCAGGTCAAGCATGTGCCTACATCTATACTGAGCACAGGATAACTCCGCATGTACCAAGAAAGCAAAATTCTATAGCATACTCACAAAGCCCTGGGAGTTGCCAACGCACTCTCACTGATGCAGAGAGCAGCCATGGGCAGCATCTTTGTTTAGAAGGGCTTAAATGCCAGGCAGGGAATGACTAGACTATGGCCAGAATTATGCATAAAGCTCCTGGTGACTTGTGAAGGCATCTTAAGAAACCCTGGTGTGTTTGCAGGCTACTGGTAGGGACAGAGGGGGAGACTGAACTACTCAGGACCAGACAGGTAATCAATGTGCCATTCACTCTCTTGCCCCCGTGAGAGCATGGGATCTGGCATTACCTCTTGGTACTGAGCTGCTTGGGAGAAATGTGGTGGATTTGAAGGGGAGAACACACCTCTCTGGAGGGCATTGCAGACATCTGTCCTGTCAGCTGAGAGAAAGAGCTTGACCCCATGGGACTTCAGGTACTGCGTAGAGTCTTCATTGCTGACAAAGCAGAACTTGGAGATTTCCAGGCCTTTGGGTCAGGGGACATAAGCAAAGTCTGTTATGAAGCAACATTCTACTCACAGATGCCCCTTCACAGTATCACAGTATGTTAGAGATTGGAAGGGACCTCAAAAGATCATCTAGTCCAATCCCCCTGCCGGAGCAGGAACACCTAGATAAGGTTACACAGGAACGTGTCCAGGTGGGTTTTGAATGTCTCCAGAGAAGGAGACTCCACAACCTCCCTGGGCAGCCTGTTCCAGTGTTCCGTCACCCTCACTGAGAAGAAGTTTCTTCTCAAGTTTAAGTGGAACCTCTTGTGTTCCAGTTTGTACCCATTGTCCCTTGTCCTATCATTGTTTGCCACTGAGAAGAGCCTGGCTCCATCCTCGTGACACTCCCCCTTTATATATTTATATACACTAATAAGGTCACCCCTCAGTCTCCTCCAAACTATAGAGACCCAGCTCCCTCAGTCTTTCCTCATAAGGGAGATGCTCCACTCCTTTAATCATCTTAGTTGCCCTGCACTGGACTCTCTCCAGCAGGTCCCTGTCCTTCTTGAACTGAGGGGCCCAGAACTGGACACAATATTCCAGATGAGGTCTCACCAGGGCAGAGTAGAGGGGAAGGAGGACCTCTCTCGACCTACTAACCACCCCCCTTCTAATACACCCCAGGATGCCATTGGCCTTCTTGGCCACAAGGGCACAGTGTTGGCTCATGGTCACCCTGTCATCCACTAGGACCCCCAGGTCTCTCTCCCCTACACTGCTCTCTAACAGGTCGTTCCCCAACCTATACTGGAACCTGGGGTTGTTCCTGCCCAGATGCAGGACTCTACACTTTCCCTTGTTATATTTCATCAAGTTATTCCCCGCCCAACTCTCCAGCCTGTCCAGGTCTCGCTGGATGGCAGCACAGCCTTCTGGCGTGTCGGCCACTCCTCCCAGCTTAGTGTCATCAGCAAACTTGCTGATAGTACACTCAATTCCCTCATCTAAATCATTGATGAATATATTAAATAATACTGGTCCCAGTACTGACCCTTGAGGCACTCCACTAGATACAGGCCTCCAACTAGACTCCGCCCCATAGACTACAACTCTCTGGCTTCTCTCCTTCAGCCAGTTCACAGTCCACCTCACTACCTGATCATCCAGACCACACTTCCTCAATTTAGCTGCAAGGATGCTGGTGGGAGACCGTGTCAAACACTTTGCTAAAGTCAAGGTAGACCACATCCACCGCTCTGCCATCATCCATCCACTGTGTTATTTCCTCATAAAAGGCTACGAGATTGGTCAAGCATGACTTCCCCTTGGTGAAGCCATGTTGACTGCCCCTCATAACCCTCTTGTCCTTGATATGCCTTAAGATGGCACCAAGGATAAGGTGTTCCATCACTTTCCCAGGGGTGGAGGTGAGGCTGACTGGTCTATAGTTACCCGGGTCCTCCTCCTTGCCCTTTTTGAAGACAGGAGTGACATTTGCTTTCCTCCAGTCCTCAGGCACCTCTCCCGTTTCCCAAGACTTGGTAAAGATGATGGAGAGCGGTCTAGCAATGACCTCCGCCAGTTCCCTCAGCACCCAGGGGTGCATCCCATCTGGACCCATGGATTTATGGATGTCCAGATTGCTCAACTGGTCTCTAACCCATTCCTCATCGACTAAGGCAAACCACTCCATTGACCTGACTTCATCTGAGGTCTCAGAGGTACAGGGCTCTTCAGGACTGCCTCCGGCAGAGTAGACAAAGGCGGCATTCAGTAACTCTGCCATCTCTGTATCTTCTGTCACCAGGGCACCTGTCCCGTTCATCAGCGGGCCTACATTGCCTCTGGTGTTAGTTTTATCTGCCATGTATTTGAAAAAGTTCTTTCTGCTGTCCTTGACCCCTCTTGCCAGCTTTAATTCCAAGGAGGCCTTAGTCATCCTAGCTGCTTTCCTACATCCTCTAGCAGCAGCCTTATATTCCTCCCAAGCAGCCAGCCCCTCCTTCCATGACCTGGAAACTCTCCTCTTCCACTTGAGCATACCCAGCAATTCCCTATTTAGCCATGCAGGTCTCCTGGCCCTCTTCCTTGAGTTCCTACGTGTCGGGATGCTCTGACCGTGAGCTCGGAAAAAGCAGTCCTTGAATGCCAACCAATGTCCTTCCCCAGGACTCTGTGTGCTTTACTGCAGAGCTTGGGGCAACTAACATGCCAGTGCTGTGTGAGGAACCTGCCCATCCTGCATCTTCTTGCCCTGTTGTTTCTATGGAACTGTAGAGTGCAGTTAAATATTCCCTTCATCCCCTACCCCCCTTAAATGAGCCTTCCTGACAGCATGCTGGGATTTAGGGTTTTTAAGAACTCTTGATTCTTCAGTAGCTGCCAAAGGATGCCTCAGCTCTGCAAAATGCTGCCAGATCCCCTGTTGTGAAGGATGCAGTTGAAGGGAGCCAGGCTCTGCCAAGGAGCCTGTACCCTGAGTGTTTTCCAGCACCCTGGGCAAGCTGCAGGAGTTGGGCTTGTTTCCAAAACAACCCCTTCCCCTTGTACTCCCTGGCTCTGCATTTGCCACTGATGCTCCACAGTGGTGCCTTATCTGCTTTGCAGTCTCCCTGGGAGGAAGCAGGCACCACCAAGGACAGGATCCCCCTTACCATAGTGCTTGGCACTGTTGATGATGCGCACACCACTCTCAGGGCTGTTGTTCGAGAGCACCAGGATATCGAAGAGGTCCTTCTCTGCTGGGTTGCTCTCCAGGATCTTCTTGTTCACATGCTGCACTGCCTGTGAGGAGATGATGAGGCTGCTTGGAGGGGCACGACTGCAATGGCTTTGCTGGGACTCTTTTTTGCAGTTAGCGAGTTTTGCTACAACTGTCAGCTAGGGCAAGGCAGGCATGTTATGGAGAAACAGACAGAGCAACCATTCTGCAAAAGCCATTGCCCGGAGAGTAGGCAGAGCATATTCCACCAGGGGGAGGTGGACATGTGGGACTGATGAAGAGCATAGGTCTCAGTGCACTGCAATAGGGCCAAGAGGCCAGAGAAGGCATATCTGTGCCCTGCGACAGGAGCTGAGACCCAAGGCCAGGAGAGCCAAGCTTTCACCCTATCCTGTGAGTGTCTGCATGTGTCCCTGGCCACCTGGGGGGCTCACCTGGATGAAGGCAAAGGCTGTGCCTGGTGGCAGGGGCTTGTCCTGGTTGGCCTGCTGGTGCCTTGTGTACTCCTCCTTGCCCTTCTCTAGGTAGAGCCTGTGCTCCTCCTCCAGGCTGAAGATGGCCCTGGTGGTCACTGCAATGACGAGTGCCTCACTGAGATCTTTCTGCAGGATGTGGAGGAAAAGACTGGTTAGGGGACAGCCAAGAAGGAGCTTGTGGAGGTGGAGCTGTGAGAGAAACAGTGCTGTTTTCACATAGTTAGGGATGAGGCTTTGCAGGGGGGTGGGAAAGGGCTCTCCTGACCAGGGTGGTGGGGTTGGATGTGGGAGGCATCGCAGTTCCTGTTGCCAGACTGCCTTTGAAGAAGAGGTGCCACCAGGCCTCTTCCAGGGGCAGGCAGTTGTGAAACCCTAACCTGTCTGGTAAGTGCCCCATGCTCTGAGGACAGCTTACACCAGAGGGGATTGCTTCATAATTTTGCTGTTTGTGGGCACAGTACAGCCATGATCGTCTGTTTCCGCTGAGCTGGGCATTGTTAGATGTCTTTGTGCATACTGCTGGTTTTACCCTGTATTTTGAAGAGTCTAATAAAATCTCTGTGCATGTAGAGAAGCTGCTGCTTTCTCCCTGGCTCTTCCACCATTCAAGTGGGAGCAAATGTCCATGCAACTGGAGGTTTAGCCCTGCAACCTCTTCCCATGTAGAAATCACATGGACCTCACTGGAACCAGGTGCCCAGCAGCCCTGGAATAAGCCACTTCTGCTGACACCTAGGCACAAACAACTCAGGCCACCACATCTTTGGGTTGTGGTGTGTCCTCTCCTGCACTGGCATTTCAAAACTTGCTTTAGAAATACAGGTTGTGTTTTGTAATGAACACCCTCTTACCTGTTTCACACTGGTGTTTATGACTGTGCTTTCAGGATCTGCCATCTTCGACTTTCAGCCTGAGAGAAAATAAGCAATTAAGCTGGTATACTATAGCCAATCTAGAGAGGCGGGAGAGGGAGATAGGGGACATCCTACTTGCCAAGTGGAACAGCCCAAATAAACCTGCTTATGTTGACAACAGCTCTGCTCTGGGAAAACCTGGTCAAATAGCTCCAATTAAATATGATGAAAACGTAGCTTTTCACCCACAGACTTCCCCCCCCCCCCAAAGTATTTTCCTGTGGGGGAACTGCTGAAGGCAGTTGTGGAGCTCTTTTCAAGCAGAGGAAGTCTGGTTTTAAAAGCCAGAATTGGTCAGATTTTATGGGTAGGCATCTAGTTCACATACTTCTTGCTACTTTTGCTTGAATGGTGAATCTGTATCCACAAATAAGCAAGTTCACTGTGTGTGCAGCTGCAAAAGGAAAAGGTCTGAGTAAGTAGAGATGTATGGTGATGGCTTGGGTGCAGGATGGGACCCCCCTCGATGGGGCTGGTCTGATCCTGCACAGCCCTGTCAGCCAACTAGCCCCTGCACTGAAGGTCTCTGTGCAGGCTGTGCTAACCCAGCCCTGGCAGGTGAAAGGCTTGCGGTGGTTACATGGTCTGCCTGTGCCTAGCAGCTGAATCATAAACCCCATTATTTCTGTACACCCAGGTCCTGTGGTTTCTGTAACCACTATGCTGTACACTGCTTTTATATGTACTAGACTCTTAAAAGTAGACTTTTAGGATTTAGCCTGTGGGATGGGAACTGTTCCCATTCCCATCAAGCAGGATCCCATGGTGATTATTTCCATGCAGTGGCTCCTACAAGTACACTGCAGGGTTTCCCTGGGGGCTAAAGGCACCAAAGACTGTTCTACACTGATGTGCTCGGAATAGCAATGGGGTTAAAAATCTCATTTACCCGTTCATGTCCCACCTGATTACTGGGTAATTAATACTGATCTGTGCAAGCATAGACCAAAGCCAGTGTAAAGCGCAAGTTAGGGTCTCCAGGGAGACCTTTAATTTTGCCCAATTTTCTTTAGTTAATTGTTATTATTCAGGGATTGCAAACTGTTGCCTAGGCTGGTAGGAAATACACTTGGCTCATATGAGTCCCAAGAATCAGTCTTACCACGGGGGCTGAATGCTTGCATGTGCACTCCCTGACTACCCCTAGGGTAGAAGGCTGTGCTGGCAAGGCTGCTCCGACAGACAGGGGGGGCCTGGAAAGCCGGGAGATGGTGAGCATCTGTCTGTTCCTCCACCCATATTCCATGCTGGGAAAGGGTCTCCTCCCAGAAAGCAGGGCACAGGGTGGGAGAAACTGTCCTCTGAACGAATTTCAGCCAAGTACTATTCCGAAAGTGACAATTAAAGGAGACGAGGCAGTGGAGCTGGGCAGCAGTTCCCGGAGGGAGAACCCCACCTCTCATTTCTGCCCCGTTCTTCCAAGCGCTGCAAGGCCAGCCTGACTTCTCCATTCCGTCTCGCTGCCGCTAATAACGGCAGTATCGTCTCTATACAGATACGCATATATGCGCACATTTCCGTTACGCGCAACCCCCATGTACGCGATGCCAGACAGCAGAAAAGCATTTCGGTGGGTGCCCGCTGGTCCCGCCACTCACCCTAGAGCCGCGCAGCACGGAGCAGCCAGCACCCACCGCACACAGCGGGATTCGGCTAGAGAGGAAAGCACGGACTCACCGTGAGCGCTGCCGCTGCTTCCGGCGCAGCCCGTCCCGACACAGCATCCCAGTTGTCCTCAAGATGCTGCTGTTTATATTTCCCCCTCCCCGTGCTGGCAGGAAGCGGGCAGGCGCTGGGCTGGGACGCAGCTCCCCTCCCTGGCGTGCTGGGATTTGTAGGCAGTAGGAGCAGACTGCATTTCCCAGCCGGCACTGCACAGGCACAGGCTGCTCAAGGCTGCCCGAGCTTCGCCATGGCCGCAGCGAGAGCCGTGCTTGCAGCTGTCATCCTGGTTTTTGGCTCTCTTGGAACTTGAGCTCAGTCGCCACTCGCTGCCCACAGGCACTGCAGCAATGTCTGTTTCTGTAGGGAGGTATTTATAGTGTGCCTCCAGACTTCTCATTTCCCACCCCTTGAACACATAATGGTGGTGGTTTTGACTGGAAGATACAGGGGTACGTGTTGAAGATTGGCTTGCAGCGCATGCAGTGAGATGTAGGGAGCTGGGCCAGGGAGAAAGGCTGGTGCAGTGGGGTTGGGGGGCTCACTACATACACAATTGTGCTGTAATGTTTTATGTCATTTTCCCTTCTTTTCTGAAAGCTGCCTCTTACATACTGCTCTCTGCAGAACTAATTTTGAGGCTGGGATCTTGCTTTTCCAGGTTGGCTGTGCAGCACCCAGCCCTGGGAGGCTCATGATGCCAAGGTATTTCGATGCCCCTTTTCTGCCCAAGATTGAGATTTGGGGCAGGGGTATGGGGGCTGCACAGAGGAGATGCTGCTGTACTGCAGCTTTTCCCTCACCCAGCTGGGGCATATCCCTGCCCCGCTGGTGGAAGATGATCCAACAACAGCCTCCCTGGCCTCGGTCCTGCCAAGGAGACCAAACTCACCTGCATTAAGGCCAAGCAGCAGTCTCCCTGCATGGCACCAGGTTATCACTAGCATTACCAAAGTGTGAGCTGCAGTCAGGGTCCTGTGCAGCTTGATTTTACCAGGATGCTTCTCTCTAGCAAACAGCCCATTGAAAAGATACTGATAATGCTCAGCTTTTAGCATGCATAGACAAACTCCCTTTCCCCAAGTGATTTTACTGGGCATCTTCCGTCTTCCCCCTGCTCCCCTTATGCATTTCTTCCATGCATTCTTCGGGACTGCCAAATTAGAGCAAAAAGTGTTTTTTGACGTCTGTGTCCCCGTCCCCGTCCCCCCCCCCCCCCCCAGCTTTGCTGCAGCATTCTCACAGCATCTCCTGCTCCTGAAGATGATGCTTCTCTGAGCAGCAGTAATGGAGGGCGCTTGTGAACAGGGCTGTATTTTGGGTGGCTGAGGTGAAGCCTCAGCACTTCTCCTGAGGCCAGACTCCTGCTGTGGCAGTGCCTTGGGGGTCATGTGAAAATCTGGCAGGACTGGTGAGCCGGGGTGGCCAGGCAGCGCTGGGATGGGTCTGGTTTATGGGGCCTCTCTCCCCATGTCTGTGTCAGCCCTCAGGCACCAGTGGTACCTCTCCTTGCTTACAGCACCGCCCCAAATACCTCTGGTGAGAAGGTGGGTTTTGGGCTAACATGGCTGAACCGGCAGCAAGGGAAGAAGTGTGCAAGCATAAATTTAATACAACAGGGATGCTGGTGAAGTTACTCCTGGCTGTGTGCCTGTTGCTGCTCCTGTTGGTGCTGGGGAATGGAGCCACCCAAGCAGTATCCCCTTGCTCTGTCCTGCTGTGTTGGAGTGGAACATCCCTGTTCATCCCTGCTGCCACATGCATTTCACAGACTCTCACATGGTGTGCCATGTGTGTCCCTGTGGGCCAAAGAGCTGGGCTCCCTAAGTGCAGAGCTCACCAGGGATGGATGCAGCATGTCACTCATTCCCTTGCAGGTATCTGTCCCTCATGCTAAGCCTGCAGCCACATGAGCCAGCCTAGCATCGCTGCAGGGATAACTTGTGGCACAGAGCCGGGCAGTGATGCCCACAGGCTTCTTACAGGCAGGAGGGCAGCTTTTACTTCCTGGTCTGTCAGGGAGTTCCCCTCTGGCTTTTCACCTGCGTGAGCAGTACTCAGGTAGCGGTGAGGTGGGGCTGACAGTGCTGCTGGGGCCGCCCGTTTCCTGGGCTGGCAAAGCAGACTTTCCCGTTTCGTCCGTGCCGTGCGGCCACCATCTTCGCTGCACACTCTGCTCTGCACCCAGCGGGGTCCCATCTCACCCACAGTATGCCCCTGCCACACGCAGTGGCTGTGCCCAGAGCCTGCGAGTCAGAGAAGAGAGGCTGAGGCTGGGAAGGAGACTTGTTGGTAAGTCTGGGTTTGGGAACTGAGTCAGCACCAGGTGGGAGGGAGAAGCAAGGCTCCTCAAACCCGTTTTCCAGGGATCCTCGATGCTCCCTGCAAGGCCCACTGAGGCTGCACTGCCTCTTCTCGTCCACAGCAGCACTGTCCCCATCGCCCCCAGTTTGACATGACTCAATTCATGCCATGGGGCTGGGATGAGCTGGTTTTAAACCAGGGCCAATGTCACACCAATGTGACACAGTCCATGGGGGGTCTGCCAGGGAGAATGTGCTGAGACACCTAATTCTGTGCTGGGTGGGTGCCTGCTTGCCTGCTCTGTTGTTTCCACCCACCTCCACAGCCTGAAGCCACAGCCTGGCACCTCCTAAATACCACAGGCACGTCACCAGCCACCACATTCCGCGTGCAGGGACAGGAGAAACCGATCATTAAAGCTGCTGGTGGTGAAGCTGCGAGTAGAGCTTGGGCATCCAATGGCACAGACCTCCCAGGTGGCTCTGGGCAAGTCACTTAACATGCACCTTATTGCCCCAGTGATGATGCTGCAGGGATAACAGCAATTCTTGTGTCCTTCCAACCCTATGCCTGCATGTGGCAAAGCCCATTGTTAGAAAAATTAAAGGCTTTGGCTGGCTTCATGGACTCCGTGGAGGGAAGTGCAGAAATGGTTTCTTCCTGTATGATCCCTCTGCAAGGGAGGGATCCATGTCCCTTTGGGGTGGGCAAAGCACAGGCAGAGCAAGTTGGTGTTGGCTGCTTGGGCAGGGACCCGCAGGGAAGTGGGGCAGGCAGCTGAGACAGCCAAGGCAAACGGGCACATACCTGCCATCCTCAGTCATGGCACTGGGACCAGGTACCACCAGTGCCATGATAGCTGCGGACCTGCTGGCTGCGCCTGGCACACCTCTCCTGCTGCTGCTCCTCACACGAAAGGAGGCAAGAAGGAAGTCTTGGCTATGAGGAAGTGTTCATGTTAGAGTAAGAGCCTTGCTGTGCAGACAGCAGTAGTGGAAAACCATTCTGCTTTAAATTTGAAGCCTCCCTTAAGCTGTGTCAGTGTTTCCATGTGCACAGGTCAAGCTTACGCAGTTTTCCAGCCAGCATGACCCCAGCCTGGAGGCATCACTGTCACCTGCAGTGAAGGCACGAGCCCTGCTGCAAGCCCACGAGCAAATCCTCCTGTTCCTCAGCCCTGTGAGAGGGTGAGAAATAGTGGGAAAGGGTGTTGGCTAATGGTGGGGCTGAGCAAACTGTTCATGTGCCTGGCCAGGGAGGAGCTGACATAAAACAGCTATTGTTTTTTTTTCCCCTACAGCCTGGTGATCCCTTTTCTGAAGACCAAAGGAAAACTCCGTTATCCAGTTGCCCGCTCCCTTCCCTTTCTGAAGGCAGGTTTACAAGGATATAAATAAGGCTCTGGGCAGGAGGGCTGTCTGGCCCAGAGCCCTCCCCTGCCCATGGCTCCCTCTGGCTCCATTTCACACCTCACTGCCAAAGTGGCCAAGCCCTATATGCTTACACTGGCCTCTGTGTTTTAATTGTGTTTGCTCTCATTAGAGCTCTGGGCCACTGGTACCAGAAAGGAAATCCCCACCCTGTTAATTCTGCCTGTGTCCCTAGGTCACCCCAGCTTAGCCATGGCACTGGCAGCCAGCAAAAGCAGAACGACAACCTCCACACTCACTGGCAGCCCCGTGGCCACCACCACCGTGGTCCAGCCAGGCTTCCTGGGTGGCTGGCTTAGCCACATCCCACGTGAGTATGGTGGTGCTTGCCCTGCTCTCTCAGGCAGTGTTGTCTGGCAGGGCTCCTGCGCTCTTAGGCTGTGTATCTACTTCCTCCTACCTCCAAATCTCTTTTTCCAGACGGGTCCATCAGGGTGGGGATGCTGCAGAATGGTGCTGCAGTGCTTCAGGAGTACAGGGCATCCTTGATGCCCATTTGGGGAATGTTCTCCAGCCACAGCCTCCCTGCATGGGGACTGTCCGGGATTATAGGGGCAGTTTTGAAGGTATAGGTCCTTAATGCTGGAGCACCAGGAAGGGATTTAAATGCACTTGATATGTTTTTGCTTGGTTTTAACACTTCTGTCCATCTCTGCTCCCTAAATATCACACCAGTACCCAAATGGGCACTCATCGCTGTGGCTGTGGCAGCGGCCATTGTCCTCCTCCTCTTCCTCATCTGCATCATCAGGTGCTGCTGTGGCAAGAAGAAGCCCAAGAAGAAGGAGAGAGTCAGCTTGCATGCTGTCAGCAGCTTCACCACGGCCAGCCTTGTGTGTCCTGCTTTCCCCTCTCCCCCACCTCCCTCCCCCTCTCCCCCACCTCCCTCCTTCCTGAGGGGTTTGTTGCCATGCTGCCTGGTCCCGGGGGTGATGGGAGCATGGCATGGCCAAGGATGTAGCTGAGCACATCATGAGGGTAGTCCTGCTCTCTGCCACAGGTCCAGCCCGAGATGGAGGACCTGGAGCGGGGTGTGGAGCAGACAGGGCGAGGAAAGCTGCAGTACTCCTTGGAGTACAACTTCCGTGCGCAGGAGGTGGGGATGCTCATGGCCACGGCTCGGCAGTGAAAAGGCTTTATTCTTGCATGGTCCTTCTTTGCTGCCTACTGAGGTGCACTCTACCCTCTTGCACCCATTCCCCTGCCTGCAGCCTGCTGGCTTTCACACCTGTGTTGTGTGTAGGCATCCTCCCTTCTACATTCACTTGCTTTCACCAAGCCCCCAGTCATCTGGCCCCATCCTCCTCCACCTGGTGACCTCGTGCATCACTCCTTTTAAGTTGAAGGTTGGCGTGAAGCAGGCAGCTGAGCTGAAGGCCATGGACAGTGGAGGCACATCCGATCCATATGTGATCGTCTACCTGACATCCGATATGAAGAAGAGGTATGAGACCAAGGTTTACCGCAAGACCCTGAACCCTGTCTTCAATGAGAGCTTCACTTTCCAGGTAGGAAACTACAGCTGATCATGTGTTTTTGTCACATCGAGAGTGTTGCATGGGCACTGCTCCCTGGGCAAAAACCTCTCCAGGCAGGGAGGTGCCTTTGAAATCAGGATCGGGAAGCATCAGAGAGAAAGACCTTTTATTGCATCTGCTGCTTTGTCCCATGGAGCAGGGCTGCCACCAAGGAGTGAGTCCAGGCTTTCGGGTCTTCCCATCAGGTACCCCAGGCAGAGGTGCCTGAATCCACACTGGTGATGCAGATCTATGACTTCAACCGTTTTACCAAGCACGACATCATTGGAGAGGTCCGGCTGCCCCTGGCCACTGTCAGCCTGCAGCATGTCATTGAGCAGTGGAGTGACCTTGTGGCAGCCAGTAAATTGGAGGTTGGTCCTGGTGGGTGGGAAACTGCCACTGTTGCTTCTCTTGCTACCACCCTGAAAAGCAGGCTCTTAAAGAGCAGGCATGAGGCTGGGGAAGACCCAGTAAACCTGGGGCCATCCCGGTGCTGCAGCCTCAGGTGAGCTGGCTCTTCTGCTGGGTTCTCATCACTGGCATCTCTCCATCAGGAAGAACAGCTGGGTGAGATCTGCTTCTCTCTGCGCTATGTCCCCAGCACTGGCAAGCTGACGGTGCTCATACTGGAAGCCAAAAAGCTGAAGCAGATGGATTCTCATGGGCTCTCAGGTCAGCAGGGGCTGCTCATGCTCAGATCTCCCTACTCCTTAACGCTGGCACCAAGAGCTGCGAAGCCTTCAAAGGTTTTGGCACCAACACCTGCTTCCTGCTGCAACCACCATGCTCAGCTCTTGTCCAGCTCCCAGCCTTGCCCAGCTCAGATGCTCCAGCTTCTGGCAGAGCTGGAGGTATCTGCCAGGAGGAGATGTCATGACTGGGTGGTACGGGGAGCTTGTGGCAGGAAGAAGTGAGCTCTGGGGTGGCTGGCAAGGGAAAGAGGGGTGGATGGTCAGTGTGAGGAGTGACAAATGGGATGCCATGCTCTGTCTGGGAATAGCCCAAGGAAGCTGTTTCATGGCTGAGCTCCTCAGTCAAAAGTTGTCACTTGTGCCAGCTGTGTCCTCTCTCTTCTCAGATCCTTTTGTGAAGGTGCATCTCATCCTGAACAGGAAAAAATGGAAGAAGAAGACTACCAGTGTGAAGAAAAACACCTTAAGCCCTTACTTCAATGAGGTGTTTGTTTTTGAGGTGCCTTTCAATCAGATCCAGGTGGGTTTCCCTACTGCGCCCAGTGCTGAGTGGGTCTCACCACAGGGGAGAGTCACCTCTCACTGACACTCTTTCTTGTGTCTCCCCTCCAGAACGTGGATGTGGTCATTTCCGTTTGGGATCATGACAAAGTGACCAAGAATGAGCCCATTGGCAAGCTCTTCCTGGGCTGCCGAGCCACAGGCAACCAGCTGCGGCACTGGTCCGACATGCTGTCCAATCCCCGCCGGCCCCTAGCCCAGTGGCACAGCCTGCAGCCCCCCGATGTGGTCGACAAAGCCCTGGGGCTGAAGTCCCACCTCAAGCTGCCCCTGCCCCCCAGATAGTGTGGGTCCCCTCCGCCAGCCGGGGGGCAGGGCACAGGGCTTGCAGGCGGGTGGGAGGCTCCTGTTCAGCAACATCTGGATATGTTTTCCCTGCTCAGTGTCAGCAAAGAGGGGACTGGAGGCTCTTTTTGGCCAAGAGATGATCTTGGTGCTGGTACCCTGTGTGATGCCCGGAGCAGGGCTTGGCACAGGGCAAGGCTGAAGTGGAGCAGAGAATACTAGAAGGGACTGTGCGGGTGCAGGAGCCAGCTCATCTGGCCAGGGGGGATAAATACACAGAGCTTCAAGCACATGCAAAATCAGAGTCCGTTGATATTTTTCAAGTGGAGGATTAATATGCTAGCAGCCTGTGGTGGGCACTTTCTTTGGTTGTGAATAACTTGGCAAGAGGTAGGTGTTTGGGAAGGGTTTATGTGACCCATGAAGGCTTTTAAACAAGACCAAGGTCTTGAAGCTCCCTAAGAGGCTAAAAGGAGAGAAAGAGGACAGGCTAATGAAGAAGGTGTTGGAGATACAGGACTAGTTCTTTAATGCCCCTGCAATATGTGTGCTCTGTGTTCTGGCTAAAGGCTAAATGAGACAGCAGAGTCAGCCACTGTTTGTCCACATAGCTTCACTCTTAGTCCATTTCCAGCCCATGCTAATTTGTGCTGGCAAGGTATGACTCAGGGTGTGGGATTCATGATCCGTCTCCATGGACCATGCAGATGAGGATACCCAGCCTCAGCTCCATTCACCTTACATGGTCCCACAGTACTAGTGCAGCAAGGTTTCCTGGAGCTGCTGCCAGGGTGGAGGGGCTGAGGCTCTCACTTCCATGTCATGATCACACTACCCCAATGAGGGCTTGGTTGCAGACCTTGTGTCCCTTCTGAGCAGGTTTCATGTAATCTGGGAGGTTTTTGTGGCCACATGCCCTGCTTTATGGGGCCTTAGGGTGAGACCTGTGTAGTGAAGAGCCTTCCTAGAAGGACGAGAGCATTGGAGAGGTGCCACCTTCTCTATCTGTCCCTGAGTACACTGCAGTTTGGTGTGGCTTGAGAGCAGCTCCCCTGAGGCACCTGCAGGCGGAAGCTCACTGCATTGGGCTGGAGGAGGGAATCACCCTTGCTCTGAAATACTTCAGCTACAAAGCAGCCACAGCACCAGAAGATTTGGGTTCATATCATGTAATTGCAGCCCAAAAGACAAAAGTAATTTGCACCGTGGGAAGCTGTGGGCACAATTCTAACAGCTATTGCCTGAGCTCTGGAGGGGAGAGTGCCTGGTGCATTAATGAAGAGCCATTAATACTGGAAAGTAGTTAATCTGCAATTACCTGGAGCTCCATGGAGCGACCATCTGAGAGTTGAACAAACATAGTGAAGCTGAGGAAGATCATGAAAACTCTTGACAGAGATTAATGGCCTGAGCTTAACCATAAAAAGCTGCTGTGTCTGCTTCTTGATAAATATTCTCCAGGCTTCTCCATGGCCGTGAGGAGAGAAGAAATGACCGGGTGGTTTTGAGATGGCTGTAACAAGTGGAGTGTGCCTTCTGCTGGAGAAATAGCATCTGCTGGCAGCTGCTAATGAGATGGAGGAGGAAATCAGTCACCTGAGAAAGATGTATAAATGGATGCTTTAAAGCCTCAACCTTCAGCCTCAGCCTTAAATCAGGCTGGAAAACGCTGTGCAGAAGGGAGCATTTCTGAATTGGGTTTGGGGTCCCAAATCCATTGCCAGGTTGTTTTTTGGTGATGCTGTGTGATAATTTAGGGCCATGCAGGACCCAGAAGGGCTTTAGGAACAGGCTTTTTTTATTTGTGTGTGTTTCTTCCAGCTCCCTTTTCTGAAGTCATGGCCTTGAGGTTCATTGCATAATTTATGTAGCCAGGCATAAAAGCACATGTTTATTAGTCCCAAAATGGACGTGGTTGAAGAAGGTGCAGGGATGTCCCCTCCTTGAGAAATGTTACCCCAGTACCAGTGCCCATCGCTCCTCTCTGCAGCTTTGGCTCTGCTTGGAGCCCGAATCACCAGCGCAGTCCCATGGACGAGGGAAGCCCATGGTACATTTAGGAGGGAAGCCAGGGAAACTAGGGCCGAGCACCTCCCTGGTCTGGCTCCGGGCAGCCTGGAGCAAGCCTTCATGTGGTAAAACTCAGCAGACCCATTAGTTTGCTGAAGAGGGAAGGGTGAGTGGATGGGCCCAGCTCCAGTTTTTAATGCACTGCCAAGGCTGCTTTCTTCCTCCTTCATTGTTTTTCCTTCTCAATTTGCCTTGTGTTCTTGTAACAGGGCTTTGAGTACTCTCCTTCTCTGGCAGGATCCTCTTAGCATCTGCTGGTAGCTGTTTGAAGCAGTGGTGGTGGAGCTGGGACTTGTTTGGGTGAAATAAGCCATGGCCTTTGAGTTCTTAAATGGGGCCTATACGAAAGATCGGGAGAGACTTTTTAGCAGGGGCTGTTGTGATAGGATGAAGGGTGATGGCTTTAAACTAAAAGAGGGGAGATTTAGGTTGGATGTGAGGAGAAAATTCTTTATAATGAGGGTGGTAAAACACTGGCACAGGTTGCCCAGAGAGGCTGTAGAAGCCCCATCCCTGGAGACATTCAAGGCCAGGCTGGATGTGGCTCTGGGCAACATGCTCTAGTTCAAGATGTCACTGTGCATTGCGGGGGGTTGGACTAGATGACATCTGAAAGTCCTTTCCAACCCGAACTATTCTGTGATTCTATTCTATGATTCTTCTATGGTTCTATGAAAGTGAGCACAGCTGGCATGTGAGCCTATTCACAGCGAGGGGGACCGTTGTGTCTTACGTGCAAGCATCTCTTTTTCGCCTCCTTTTGCCTTGGTAAGGTTAGTTGTCCCTCATCTACCAAGGCCATATGTCCAAGCACCTTTTGCCTGACCGATGCTCCTCGTGTACTCGGAGGGTCCTGAAGCAGGAGGATTCCCTGGTGGAAGGTGCAACAAGAAGAGAAATTAAGAGGGGAAAATCAACTCCTCAGCTTGTGTCTGTGCTGGATTCCCACGTCTGCATCTAGAGGGCAGGGCAGGTACATGCTGTGAGCTGGGTGTCGATGTCATCTGGTCTGTGGCCTCGTTACAGCCTCCCCAGCAAGGATTTCTTCTGTAGATGGAGTGTGTGTGGGAGAGGGAGAGCAAGCTGTGGTGCAAGAACGTTCCCATTGCCAGAGCCATTGGCAGCCGTTCGGTGATGCTGGGGAAGTCCAAGGTGGGCTCTTCCAGGAGGCAGGAGCCAGCCCTTGACTGATCCTGCACTGCCAGGGTAAAGGAGGTTTTGCTGGGGGGTTAATGGGGTCAAAAGCAGGTATCCAAATCCAGTCTGCACCGTGCAAGGTGCCTGAGTGCTGAGTGAGGTGTTTGTTCCTCTGCTTCACACAAGGGACAGTCCCTCTGCATGTAATTAGCAGCTTTGCAGGGCAGTAGCAAGAGGAAAAGCAGTGCTTGGGCCAGGCAGAGGTCTGTTAAAGGAAGCAAGAAATACTGACAATTGAGATGTTTTCTATTAAGATTTATAATCTCTGCTATTTACATCCAGATCTAAGACTCCTGACCTCCTGAAGTCCCTCCCAAAGCAAATTATTCCCCTGTTCAGTGATTTTTATGATATTTGTCCCTGCACTTCAGGAAATCAAGTGAGAGCGGTGCACCAGGAGAAGGCTGAGCCTTATACCTGCTTGTCACCAGTCGCCTGCTGTGAGACAGAAACAATTATGGGCTGTCATCTTTCAGCCTGGGTATGGGCTGGCTGTCCTCCAGCCACAGATTTTTTGGCTAGTCTCACAGTTTTTGAGAACTGAAGAGTATCTAAGCTCTTCTCACCAGCAGCATGCGTGCCTGTTTTATAAATATTCGTTAGCTAGCATCATAATATCTTGCCATTTTATGGGCAAAACGTGTACTTTGCCATGCACGGGTTTCTCTTTTAAAAGCTCCAGCTTCTGGACTTGTCATGTGCAGGTTTGCACCTCTTTCTTTTAAAGAACACTTTTATCCTTTGTGGGTGAGAGGTACCTGAGGGTCTCTTCCAGCTCAAAACCCAGAGGAAAAGTGAGAGGATGGTGGATGCTGGATCCAACATCCCGCCGTTGCCTACAGTAAAGCACTGTGGTGGGGGGGGGAAACCTTGCTGAGGGTCCTGCGCAATGCAGGGCGGGAGGGATGGCTGCTCTCAGGCAATTGACCTTTGGGAAACTCCAGTGGGAAAGAGGGGTGCTGGGAAAGCTACCCTACTGGGTGCCAATGGTAGAGTGTGGATGGGAGAGGTTGCGCCTGGGTGCTGGGATCTCCAAGGGGGGGTGCATGAGTGAGAGTGGAGGGGGGAATGGGATGTGGGCTGTGGGAGAGATTTGTGATTGATGACTCTCTTTCTAGAGCTCTTGGCTGCTTTTTGGTTTTGTTTTTAATTGACACTATGTTCTCACTGCTGCTTTGTTTTGGCACTGAGAGCCTGAAGGATCATTTGAAAGCAGAGACATGTTGCAATAGTACTCTTTTGAGAACTCAGAGGTCTCAGCCTGTTCTCCAGACATGTTCTGGGTCATGTCCTGGTCTTTAACAGGCTTTGAGGATGTGCAGACACATGGAGGATTGTGATTAGGTGTCAGGTCAATGTGGTAATACTGTCCAGGGCAGGCTTGGTGGGAATGCCAGAGGGATAACCTCCTGGATGCATCAGTTGCTGGGCACAGAACAACATTGGGCAGAAGTTCTGGCTTTTCAAATGGCCTGCCAGGTCAGCCTGCAGCCATGGAGACAAGGCCATGCTGTGGTAGGGTCTGAGGCACCTTCTGTGTCAAGTGTACTGCGTGGAAGTGCGAAAAGCTCTTTCGAGGAGTGAGGTCTGTGCCCAGGAATGAACTAGGAACCAAGAGATCCTAACCCTGGCTATGAACACAGCCTCCCCATCACTGGAGGCTGAAGCTCCCAGTGGCTACCATGGTCAGAAGGGGCTTCATCCAGAGGGGTTTTCTGTTACTTGCCCTCTCACTGCAGCTGCTCTTCACGCCTTTGTGTTTTCAGTCTAAAATGTTGCCCTTCCTCCTGGCTCTGGTTTGCAATGAGTTGCAAACCCCTCCAGCAGCCCACACTTGTTTCTCTTCAAGGCCAGTGTTTATATCAAAAGCATAGGGCAGAACCTCCTATGTGCCTGAAGTTGTCAAGGTTTAAACCCTGTCGTCAAGTTAGCCACTCAGTCCACTCCCCACCCCCACCCCACCTTTTCTCTCCCCACCCCCCGCTCCCGGAGGGATGGGGAGGAGAATCAAGAGTGTAACCCCATGGGCTGAGATAAGAACAGTCCAGTAACTAAGGTATAAGAGAACCCACTGCTGCTGCCACCAATGGTAATAATGATAAGGGAAATAACGAGGGAAGAGAATATGATACTACCCGGTGACCGAGTCTGGCCGAGCAGTGAGTGCCCTGCTGGGTAACTCCCAATTACATCCCGGGCGTGATGTGCAGTGGTATGGAATACCTCTTTGGCTAGTTTGGGTCAGGTGTCCTGTCTCTGCTTCCTCCTGGCTTCCCCTCCTCCCTGGCAGAGCATGAGACTCACAAAGTCCTTGGTCAGACTAAACATTTGAGCAGTAAC